GGAGGGTAGGATCACAGGAGTAGGTGAGATGATTACTTCATGCGAAAAGCTTAAATTTTGCCCAACCCGATGATCCTTCCCTCCTACGGTTTCCTACGAGTAATAGGTAACTCTGTATTAATTCCTTGGTATGCTAACACGCGTAGACCCATCACCACCATTCCGCACTGCTTCAAATCATAAAAGTGAAACCAGAATACAATATCCAGTGACAATTCTGATTCGCAGCACATTACACCAGCTATTACCTCAATTTACGTCTCTAGAGCTAGCCTTACGGCTGCAGAGCAAAGCAGCGCGCGCTAGTAGTTCCAGGACCACATGCTTGCAGATATGTGTAACCAGGACCCCTTTAAAACAGTTCGGTCAAGTTGAATCGCTGATTAACTAAAGCAACTCCTCTAAAACACGAAATCAACAAACTATTAGTCCTCGAAATTGAATAAAAGTAAGCGTAGGGTTACGGTAGTTGCTATTAATACGCAAGTGCAGACTGCTACCCGTGTGTAAATAGGTAGCACCGAGAAGAAGTGGTAAAGATGAGGAGGGAGTCCTCGATGGGGTTTCCTTTCAGGCCGGATCACGACGAATAGAAGTCGATAGGATATTGTTCAAAGTGGGAGTGTGAAATCAGGAAATACTCTACTCCAATACTGGTCAGTAACCGGCTGATTTGAAACCTCTGATTTCCCAAGTTTTCTGCGTTTCTCTAAGCTCTGCAATTCTAAAGATCGATAAATATCTTATCCATGATGACAGGTTCAATTACTCCACGAACGACGTTTTTTTCAAATCTGATGAATACCCAGTATAAATGAAAAACTGGTGATTGGCACCTGGTAATGCCACTCGATTCAATAGAGATGTAAAGTACAGGTATAGCTTCCTATAGCTAAACAGACAGAAAAAGTCATACTCAGCATGAAAAGGCTCGATTTCCTTGTAAGTACTGCCGACAAACAAGTGGGAATTCAGGGGTTGGGAGGGTGCACAGGATGGCTAAGAAGTATCGACACACACTTCAATAACCCACCCACAATGATCTACCCATTGTAGGACAAAAATATGGGTCACAATGGATTTTTCCTCTTAAGTTTCTACATAATGAATAAAGGTAAAGCTCTTGGCGTTATTCAGTCCTTTTCGGGACTGCGCCCTGCATTCGTCTTCTTCTCAGAATCGTTACGGCGTTTTGAAGGCGTATGTCGTGCCGTGTCGTACAATGAGTCGTACAGCCGATATACATACAAGTCAGAGCTTTTTTCCTAAATCTTCCTAGTCAGGTACGGTATCAATTAATCGATCCTGAAGGGTGGAAGGTTTGGTTGACCCGTGCGGATATCGACCCGAGTTTCGATCTTAGGATCAGGCATGTATGATAGGACTCCTCTTGCCTCTGCACTACCTTCGCCTATGACTTTTTATTTTTGACTATTTCTTGTCAACATTTCCCAAATGAATTCTCCCCATTTAAGAACTAGAAAGCTTGGAAAAGGGCCGCATAGGACTTGGCTGGGGTGAACCTATTGGTCTTGTGTTAGCACCGAACCGATCTTTGAGTTGAGCAGGTGGAAATGTTTGAAGGAGGTCGATCTACAGCCTCATTGAGCTACTAGTTTTCCTCTCAGCTCCATTCACATCTCCACACCTTGTATTTGCCTCCGGTACCTGAATCTCAAGTCAAAGTAAAACCTGAGTCTCCTGAATTTTCTTGAATTTTTCGAGTCGGGGCTTACTGTATGGAATACTAGTTTTTTGTTTTTGTTTGTCCGCTTTTCTTAGGTAAACTGGGATAGACTGCGTATAATTTTATGTCTAAAGTGCTCTGCCGCATTTAATTTATTGAACGTTCTCATGGAATACTTGAAAAAAGGCAGTTTGAAGGCCAAGTAAAGTGCTAAGTGAATTTTAGGCTCTGCTTCAAGGCTTGTATGGATAGAAATGAGAGATGGACGAAACAACTAAAAGCCCCACTGACAGCCGAAATGGCATTCACCTTTCTATTGTTGCTGTGCCAGCTTACCTCAGTTGGTACAGTAGCAACCAACACTACTGGGACATCCCCCACAAGGAGTTCAACACCGTCTATCACTACTGCCAAGTCATGGACTTCAATAAAACCACTTACCACTACTGGCAAATCATCGACTACAACAAAACGGTCTACGACTACTGCCAAATCAACAACTACGACTGATGCTCCAACTACAACCACTACCATGGATTACTACGCATATGTAATATATCCAGACGAAGGTAACGAAGTCTTTGCTTGTTGAGAAGGTCCTCAAAACGAAGGCTTCTTCGACGTACATGTGAAACATTTAGGTTTTCGATGGTTTTTCCGGGTTTTGTGTCAAAGTTATTGGGAAAGCTCAGCTTTGGAAGGCCATTTTGATGAAAACGTAGGATATGAGGGGTCCAGGAATGCGACAAACTTCTACTGCTTTCGCTCCTATCAAATGTGATCAGTGAAATAATATAGAAATGTAGAGGAGGGGTTGTACGAGATGGCCGTCTGGGTGTGTTTCATTTAAGCGTACCATTCGTTTCGTTCTGTGAATAATGTAGTAATAGCAAGGCCGGCATAACTCGGCCACTTTGAGTGTCTGCGTCGACTAAAAATGCTTTTGGGCTGGGCCTACTACAAAGTGTCTTGGCCGCTTTTCGGCTAGACCATGGCCCATGTACTATTCTTAGGGGCCACAGATTTGTTCTAGGAGGATATCTCGATAACTTTTTTTTATCGCACACTGTGCTCCTAAGTAAAGTTAAAAGGCTTTTCCAGTTGGCAGAGTAGGTTTCATCGACTAGACTTTAATTGAAGAAGTACTGTGAATATAGCCCTATCGGCCAAAGATTTGCAGTGCTTACTGTAGCCTGAAAATAAATATTTGAACATTTTTTGAATATTCATTTATGCCGGTTGTCTAAGTCTAACATAATTCCATTTCGTAGCTGCCTAGGAGCTCCCTATTTCCGGCACTCAATCTGAGCAGCTGAAAAACCATGACAGGTGAAATGCCTTGACATGTGCCGTTGACGTATTGGAAGAATATGTAGGAATGATTGAAAGTCACTGCCAGTAGGGGGACTTTGGCCATGATGAAGGAGCCAAAATATTTGGGTAATCAGACTCACTGTGACTCTCAACCCACTTGCATTAGGGCATGGTTTTTTGTATACAAACATGTCCCATCCCCTCGCCTTTGAAATAAGAAATGTAGATGGTATTTAGAGCGTACTACTAGATAACCTAAGTTACAAATCAGAAGAAATTTTTGCAAAATAGAATTGAAATTTACTGGGATCTCATTTTTTATCTATTTTTTTATATTTTCTCTCGAAGAAAAAAGCTTACTGTTTCCGAATATTTCGTGCTTCAATTTTCCATGGGTAAGGGAGGGGAAAGCGATGACTTATACATACTAATAGAATTGGTTGGAAAAAGTGCTCGAGTCCTTAAGCTCAAGTTCATGAAATGGGAAAAATCTGAGCTGAGCATCCTTTCCGTGCCAACGAAAATAAGCGGATCTCTCCCAGATCCGTCATTGCCGTTCAAGTTGAAATACATTTCCATTTGAAGTGTATGTTCCGATAGGAGCTTTGATGAGTTATGGGTTGTAATACATAGCCTTACACAACCTTGTACGTACCTGAGAGTGTTGATATTGTTCTGATTAGCTCTTCCATAGCATCAGAGAAAAGAGCTCCAACATGGTGGGAGTTGTTGTTGGACTACGTGCAACCTTCAGAGAGCAAAAGAGTGCAGCGTAAAGTTAGCATAGACCAAGTGACAGTTCAGCTTACATAAAATGGCTACTAGAGCCCTGTTCTGAGAACTTCTCTTCCCCGACAGGATGAAAAGTTCTTTAGCTGCTACCGGAGATTCCCACGCAGAGCACATCTTAGCTAGCGAAGTTTACGGATAGAGGAAACTCCTACCCTCAGCGTTTCAAAGTTTTGTCCCTTAGAACGGAGATCTGTGATCCAGTTATTGAAAAGAATCCAAACGGCAATGGAGCTTATCACCTAAATGTAAAGAGTCAATTACCTCATGGTTCGCAAACAAATCGGAAACAAGGGATCTCCTAGCAACAGCGACACCTTTAAGCTCTGATAATCTCATTCTTTACTCTTTTGGCACTCAAATCAGACCAAGGGAACATCATTCCTGAATAGATGTCCGACGAATCATCAACGTTTTTCTCAGATGAATCCGCTTCAGGTAAATATTAACCAAAAAACTGCTTCCTCAAATATTGGAATTAAAATAATGGTGGATTAATGGAATTAAAATAATGGGAAAACAAGAAAAATAAACACACCTTCCCGGTCACTCCTAGGTAAGAAAGGAGGTGTACCCCTCGAAAAAAACCTCCATTAGGCTCAATTTTGTGATTTCTCTGCTGGCAGCTCAACTGAACTCACCCTATGTCCATATGAATCTTCCGAAAGGCTAATGATAGCGTTTTCAAAAATATTATGAAAATCAGATTTTTTCAGGGTTCCATAGTAAGAAGTCAGATTCGGGTGGATTCAACCTGCGAGAAAAGCAGATCGAGCATTTTGTTTTGAAGAAGTTTGACCTGAATTTTTCGACGATTTTTGATCCTGTTTCAGAAGAGCCTGTTGATCCAGACAAGACTGCCTACGGTGTAATGATAAGCGTCTCGGGTGCTGCTTGTATACTACTCCTGTACATGACATTGTTTGGTCAGAGAATGCGTAGAACAGCGATTCGATGGCATGTAATCAACTGCTCATGGTGGAGTATACTCCATTTGGTGAGTGATTAAATGAGTAAAAAGAGAATTTTCAATAATAATCTTAATACAAAGCTATGTATTATAAATGAGAAATAGATTTCCAGTGATCTATTAAAAAGGTGAATGATCGACTTTCTCCTTTTGTTCATCAGAGTATTTTGTCTTTTGTCCTCTATTCTCGGTGTTTGAAAGCCGTACATTCGTTAGGGAACTCGATAAAACCTCGGCCTAAGCGAAAGTGTACGCCATTCGGGATGCGAGCCAAGTGCATGGCGCATTCGCCTTTTTCTCGATTTGAAATAATCATTAATGTTTGATAAAGTGAACATCGGATTGGTTAATTTGGTAATTTACTTACAATTCAGATATCATATGGATCATCTGCTGAGAAAGCTCCATGGCCGAATTTTATCATTTCTGAAGACTGGAGGGATAGTTATAAAGAAGTGGAATGTTTCACAAGATCGATATTCCCATTCGGTAAGTAGTTTGATGTTCATTGCAGCATCAAATGTGTCAGCCTCGATATACATAGTTTTCAAAAAATCCGTCAACTATCCATTCAACCCGTAGGCTTAACTACTATGCTTTACGTACTTGACTTCTACGATTTCTTGATAGCTGTAGTGTCTTAATTTATAAAATATGGTACTCCCATTCAAGCATCTCATGAAAATGGTACGTAATTTCATCACTATAAACTTTTTATGGTGTGATCTGAACCACTTGGCAGTCACGACAAATAGACTTCAGGACTAAATAAATCTCCCACCAGCTGCCCTAGGAGGCCAAAGGCTCATCCAAGAGGAAAACCTCAGGAGTCGCTTCTATACTGAGCTCTACTGTGCAAAAATTTGCGGATTTTTACAATTATTTATGAGCCTTCAAAAAATAGTAAGAGAGGGGTTGTACGAGATTAAGTGTCTGTGATCGTCTGGGTGTCTCAAACTCAAGCGTACTATTCTTCCAAGTAGTAAAACATAGACAACGCTTTTCAGAAAGAGAGTTCCAAAGACTTTTCTACAGAGCTCATCCGCCAGGTCCATGGTGAATATCGCGGTGATTCCTCGATCACCTTGAATTTAGAGATGACTTCATCGTTTTGCTTTGAAACTGCCGAGAATTTTTTTATACGCAGCACTTTCTTATCGTGTTGTGATCTTGCTAAGCATATGACGGCGTATATTCGATGGCATGCACTGATCACCTACATATTCCTAGCCGATGCAACCAAGGTAGCATTCACGATTTTCCCTGGCTGTCAAAGTTGCGGACGCCTCGCTATGGCTCAGCTGCTGAGCACAAACTAGACGATTCTCGCAATGGACAATCTCCTCAGTCATGGTGCAAGTTGAAGTGGATTGACCATGGACGGAAAAACCACGAGGGATGACGTGTCCTCTCCTTCAGAGAAACAGGCTCACTCAACGGAGCATATAAGGTTCCACATTAGCTTTTGGAAAGAAATATGAACAGCCGAGTTATCAGCACTTCTGAAACAGGGAGGCGTTACAAGGCTAGCAGTTGATGCTGCTTTCGCTAGCCATCACCCAGTTTGCTTCGCCTATGCAGGCCATTGATCATATTAACTAACTTTGCTATGTTGCAAAGAACTGTTCAGGGCGAACGGGAAGACCGTCCTGTCCATCTGCCTAGCTCGAAATAAACAGGGCTGGTGTTGCTACATATGTGGACTTCTGAGACTTCAATGCGCGATATGCCCACAGCTTTGGTCTTGGAAGGTGTGTCACTCTTAAAGGAAGACTAGATTATTCTGCTCTGAATATGACACTGAGCACTCAATTTTCGCCACTCTAAGACGACGCAAGAGATCATGGAGAATGGAACACGGCTGTTACCAAAAGATCAGTAGCCTCTGTGCTGTGGCTCTTTTTGGCACTGGAGTTACGACAGCAAATTCGAACAGTCACCGAGAACCCCGCTGAATGTTGGCATTTAGGTGCCCTAATCTGCCACCATCCTGATACTCCGAACTTGCTCCAACTCTACCTGAACTGTCTCGCGGAAAAGGTGATTGCTGGGCCAGAAGTATCGTGGAAATTCCAAATTTTATCAGATCTAGGACTTGTTTATTTGTTTATTTTTGACATTGTTGAGAATTTTTCATGTGTACCAGGTTAATATACACGGAAATAAAGCTCTTAATTAGTGATGGTAAAGTTTCTCCTGCCCAAAAACCTAATTTTTTGGACGCCTCTTTTTCTTACTATTGTTATTAGCAGCATATTTACCATACAATTTCACACCTGATCGAATCCCTTCGTGCCGAGGTACGAAGGGATTCGATTAGGTAAGGAAGAGGTCGGTGTATTGGCAGTGTATAGGATAGAGATCAAGATAGGTTCGACCCCCGTCGAGGTCAGTTTCGCATGTAACTCGCCAGCATTGCGAGACTTTCCATTGCCTATTGTATGCCTACTGTGACTAAATAACTGCCATTAAGAAAAACACCAAAACGAAATAGGTTGGGATCTATGCTGCGTGAAAGAACTGAGAAAGCTTCAACCATCTTCTTCTTTGTCTCTATGGACAAATTGTCGGAGGTGAAGAAAACGGTAGTAATGAAGTCGTTGCTAATCTTGATAGTGTTACAGGAATGATATTCGTCTACTTCGAAGCGATGATTCGCACTTGTGTACCGAGCTTGAGTGACAACTGGATTTTTAATATGATATTCTTTCTTCTTCTTATTCCATACCTCAACATAATAGCTATGTTCTGCTTTTTTGCGAAGGTTCGTTCTCATGACAAGTTGAATAGATTGGGTTTGATCGGTGTGGAAGAATGGAAAATTCGGTTTACTTAGATTTGATTTCAGTGGATGGAAGTTGATTGGTTTTATCCACCGATCGAGTTTCTGAATCTCTTCACCTACGTGATATTCTGTCTTGTCACCATCGTCTACTTAATATTTTGCTTAATTCAAAGCGGTTTTTGCTGTTTTGTTATATTTTCCAGGAATAATCACAAGGTAAGGATGCTGTAGTTTCAATTTTGATTAATTCCACAGTTTTGACTTCTGTTCTGTTATGCCATCCGTTACAGTATTCTGTTACAGACCCTTCTTGTCACTAGCTTTTTTCTTGATCTTTTTTAAAACAGATATTAAATACTCACTTCTTAATAACCATTCAGTATCTCTGCTCTTACGTCATTTCTTGAGCATTATTCTTTAGCTCTTTCCAATTTTTATACCCTTTGTTGCCTATTTTGTTGCTCCTTTGTGGAGATTTCTGCTTCTCCCAGTTCTACACTGCCCTTGATGCTCTGACTCCTAGCCGCTCTCTTTGCTTTCACTTTGACAGGTATCCTGTAAAACTTAGCCTTTACTTATTTTGGACCATCAGCACTTCTGGTATCGGTCGTGGTGGCACTTTTCATGAATAAATCATCTCCATCCCATCCTTTACACAGTCTTTCTCGCTCACCATTACTCCAAGTGTTTGACCGAAATAAGGGGCCTGGTTTTCCACTTTTTCTATTTTATTGGTTGAATGATCGTGTTCATGGAGTTTAAGGGCCTTCGGAACGATGAGCGTTCCTTGTCTCGTATGACTGCTTTCATAGTCCGCCGGCCGGCCTTCCGGCACGCGCGCCGGCGGACTATAAAAGCAGCCTATGACACTCTCTTCAAAACCATTTCGGAAGATAAAGCTGTATATAATACGCCAACCCTCGCGAGAATATCACCATTAGATGTTACCGCATGGAATATTGATTGGCTCAAGTATGACAGTATTTATGGTAGTAACTATCTCCAGTCACTATTTTCTGCAAGGTATTAGCAATCAAGAAGGAGGCAATATAGTAGGACGTGCTATACGTTGTCGCGCGATTGGTCCGAGGATCAAATCGCGGATCAGCGCCTGCCCAATTGGTAAAACCGGAAGGCTAGTGCTCTATCAGCTACCAAGCTTTTTTGACTGTATCAGGAATATTAGAAGTTCTTGACAGTTCCAGAGTAGCCTCACTGAATATCATTCGAAAAAACTTCTTCTTGAATTTAATATTACATTATGTATTTCAGCGTACTGCATACACATTCATCGAGATGTGGTTACTATTCCCTTATGGCCTTATACCGGCAATCATGTATGGACCTTCTTTTGGTTTCACCTCACTGGAGTTTGTCAGAAAATTCTTTCTTAAATGGCTAATGGAGAATGGATTTGGGGGCGGCACCGGTGAAGGAGGAGGTCGGTTATTCAGTTCATAGAAAATCAGAATGAATAGTTCTCTTGTTGAGGACTTCAGGAAGGAATTTGCTTGTTTGAAGTCGTCTCAAGCAAAAAAACCCACTGAAGGGTTCCAGAATAGAGCATGCACAATGAAATGTGTATTGATTTTGCGCGCATCGAATCAATACGCAGTTCAACACTGCTGATAACCTGATAGCTGAAATTCAGAAAAACCTTTCTCACGCTAAATTTTCTTCAGTAGTTTTCCTTCCACCAGTGGATGGAGGTGATTTAATTTGAGCAAAAAATAGTAAACGGGGTTTCCTTCAGAATTTATGGAGACGATGATGAAAGTAGCAGAGTATGCGATAACCGCAATGCCATGGTTTGTGTTACTTGTTCCATTGGCCCAAGTATCACTCGCCGTCATTTGCATAGAAATGTTTCGAGAGCAGGTTGGTCCCCATAGAGTATTAAATTTTGAATATTTCTCAGTAAATTTGGCAATATTGTACCCGAACGGTCCGTCGTTCAGATGTGGAAATAAAGCTTAAGGCGGCTGAGTCCGTTTATATTACTTAGTGCCACGGTATGTCTGCGATCAAAGGTGGATGACGGCTAGCGTAAGAACTTATAGCCCGTTTCCCTTATATGATCCCTTCTCTTCGGTCAGCAATCGTCTTCATAGGGTACTGAACTAGAACTCGTGCTTGGAGCGACTGTTAATCACCATACCCTTTTATCAGTCACAACTACTTGGGCCCAACAGGGAACGTCCGTTGCGCGCGTCCGTCGACGCTTGGCCATCCCGCCCACAACACGCAACCGCCCACTACAGTCTCGAAATATCGTTACAGCAACCCCAAAAGTCAGCGTAGCGAATGATTCGCACTTGTCCATGTTTTCCTTCCTTTGAGCTGACAAGGAGCTCATCGAGGCCACTTGTGCAATGGACGTCTGGCGCCATCTCACCTTCGCCGAAGCCGTCTGAGCGAGTGCCCACCGACTATTGTATAAGTCACAGCACCGTACATCACACTGTTCGCGTGCTCCGTGAAAATCATTGACAGAGAGATAGATCAAGAGAACTGACGCAATAGGAACCCATCGATCTTCGATTTTGCCTAAAGCAATCTATTGTTATCTGTCCCTCTCACTCAGTGACGTTCACTAGTACGAACAGTAACAGATACGGTTCTGGTCTTGACTAGTCGCAATTAAGGGCTCGGATCAACGTCCGAGTCCACACTCCAGATTCTTGGACTCTGCCGGTGAGTCGAGACTCCGCCCACCCCCAAGGTATGAATAGAAGGAGCATGAGCGGCTGGGAATGCGGCCACCTTGAACTTCGAGCACTGGGGGTGAGTGCCGGACCACAGGATGCCCTATTTTTCGGCTCCGTGCATTAGCTAGAGATTCTTCCTCGTCTGTGAACCTCTAATTTGCGATTTTTTTGAAAAAAAATTTGTGCTTTTACCAGTAATTCGTCCCGTTTTTGACGTCAGAAGCTACGGCCGTGGCGTAACCATCCTTCAACAGACGTGCGGAATGGAGGGCACCCGGTCCCTAAAGCCGTCTAGGCCACCTTTCCCTGCTGTTTCAGTGGAAAATAATCATCGGAACCTCCCTAATGGTTCATTTCTCTATGATTGGTGAAAAGGATAAATTTCTTTTTCAATTTATCCGAGAATTTCAGTTCTTCTTCGTTTTCTCTTGTGGACGCTTCTATGCAGGATCAGCACTACCCGAACATGAAAAGTCAAAGCGTTGGGCATCGCCCGGTAAGACTTTCGTTTAAAAAGTTACAGCGACAGGGTCATGACAATTCACGTAGCTCAGGAATATGTAACGCACATCTCCCAGACGGCTGCAATGGCGCAGGATGAGTATACCGGGCCATATTGAGAGTTATGGTGGAATAGTTGAGGTAGTGAGATAACAGAGACGTATATTGTTGATGAAAGACCATAAATCCTGGAAAAAGACCAAAAGTCCTTGGTTCAGCAGTTAATTCAGAGAATGTACCAGTTGCGTAGGGATATTTTTAGTATTAGAACGAAACGAGGGGGCATTGTCGAGATCAGGCCTGATGAAGTAGAGGAATGTTGCCCTCTGTGCTATTGAGGACAGGCGGCTGATATCGCAAAATTCTGTAAGCTTCTGGTAGTATATTGGAGTAGAAAACTGAGCCAAGTAGTTCCTATCAATGTGACTATGGTGGCCATCGTAATCTCAAGGCTCTCTCTATTAATGTCACTGCTACTCTCTATCTATTTGTGGTTTACAGGAATTGTTTAGCTGCCTCGCGTAGCGACTATCCATCAGTGGAGCTCGTCAAGATGAAGTCTGAAAGAGAAAAAGCGGCATAATTGTCTTTTGCGATGACACATCCCAATCTCCACGATCCTGACCTCCACGACTCCCCACGACGAAATGGACACCTTCACCTGAACCTCTATCCTTTATTATTTGTCGAATAAAATAAAGACTTTGAGTTTGTCTTCATCGCTCCCATGAATTCAGAAACGGCGAATTCGAATATTCTGTAAATACAAGCAAAACTTTGGCCTCTGACAGGGCTCGAATCGTGGTTTCGGCAGAGAAGGCGAGGTTAAGAGCAAGCGGGTCTTGTTAAGAGCATGTACGCAAGTAGTGGTCCAAGTTTTGTCCGGGGCCGAAGTTTTGCCCATATTCAACCGTGTAAGATGTGATTCTTCCGATTGAGTTATATCTCAGTTACGGAACAGCGCATCAGGCGAAGTACTACCATTTTTCCCCTCAGTTTTCAATATCCTCTCCGCAAAACGTTACTCATCTGTTTACATTCTTCCTGACATAAAAGAATACAATTTTATTAAGTAGGAATTATTTTACAGTACACACGTAATCCAATCGCGTCCGAATCGTTTGCGAAATTTTACACATTCAATATCGATATAATTACAGGTGTTACCTATGTCAATTTTTAAGTTAAGTAACTTCATTGAAATCACAAATCGTCACGGTAGTATGGGAAGGATATTCGATGCTGGAGGTGCACATGGGCGGTTCCCAGCTATCCAAACGAGGCGGAATGAGCTGACTTAGCCCTTTTGACATCTACCTACAGCCAATTCACTTCTTAGTCTTAGCAAAAACCGTTAAGAACTGCCCAACCAACGTAGGGACGATCCACCTCCAGCAGCAAATCTCAACACCCTTGAAGATACATTCCACATTGGGCATTCGGGCGGAGGGCATAGTCATGATGCTGGACAACTGTCAAAAATTTAGTGGGACTAACTTCCAATGATCGCCCGGTTTTCACAGAGCGAGAGGGGTCCATCATTGAAAAAAAGGCAGGTTGGGTGGTGGAGCTCCCCTTCTTGGTACTACTCGTGGAATGTGCATTCAAACGTTCCCATAACGATGAAGGAAGTGTGAGTTTGAGGTTCCTATTCGCATAATGTTTCATTCGAATCCTCTGATTCTTTCTTGGTAATTCTGTATTTATTCCAATTCTTCTTGTATTCATAGTATCGCTTCCTCGCCTCTTCGCTCCATTTTCCTGTAATGCACAAATTGTCAAATCTGGGAGTGAGAGGGAAGTAATGAAATGCTAAAATTAAATGGCTAATGTAGGGAATCCGCTGTGTTTCGGAATCTAAACTTTATGCAAAGTTTGTTAACCTAAAATGCAGGTATGGCCCAGCTAATGCGCTCTCATGCAAAGACTCAAGCAAAAGAAAAACTGTGGCTTCACACCACGAATCCGAACACGTCACTTCTCAGACGTTAGTCTGGACCCTTATCCGCTACACTGTGAGACCACATTGCTTCAGCTTGGCCCCCTGCTATGTCAGACTGGCAGACAGTTTGCTGGCGAAGGAAGCCCACTTCGGCTTAACCGACCTGTCCGATGGGCCGGCGGGCAGATCGGCTCAGCAGGACCGAGCCCACACCCCTCCAATGGAGGGAGTGTGGGCTCGTCCCTGCTGAGCCGAACTGCCCGCCGGCCCATCGGACCTCCAGCAGCGTATGTCATCCGGGTTGAACCTGTAAAATTCATTGATTCGGAGAGAGCAGGCAAAGGTAATTGAGAGAGATGACAAGATTATTGAATTGCTATTAAGAAGGTTAGGGTCGGGCTCCCGTTGGTGTGCGAATATAGAGCGTAGCGGTGTACGAGTGAAGAGCAAAACACAAATGCAGGCGGCTCGAATCCCGTCCGGGATTTAGCGGTTTGCTCACAATTTGCCTTTCTTGTGGCACAACTGAAGGTGACTGAATAAGGGCGAGAGAAACGCCACAAAACTGCCGTTACTACCAATCAGTTTACTAGTTAAGGTGAGAAGTAAATACTTAAAAATCACTATATTTAGGTTGACCACAAACCTGAAGGCTTTTCAATATGATTGCCGTAGTGGTTTATGCAATCCTGTTGATCCATCAATCGTGAGATCTGAAACACCGGTTTTTCAAAGAGGTAGGGTTGCATTCGGGTCACTGACAAACGGCGCCGGTGCGATACGATTAAACTCAGTTGAGATAGCGAATCAAACCCTCCTGAGACGAAATCAAGTAAAATGAGCACAGATTTTCATCCGGAAGACTTTGCTTTAGTCGTAGCTGTTTAAAAACCTTCAGAAATTCGGAAAGATTGGTAGCATCACAGTGTTCTCCCGGTAACAATGGTAACACCATGGCAGAGTGTCTCATCCCCAGCCAAACTTTATCATAAAGCTTTCACCTCTATGCAGAGGCCATAAGTTCGCTTTTTCAAGTTCCAGTGAAGGTCGCCGCGCTCGGTTACCCAGAAGGGAATTCTGTCCGCCTCACAGCGAGTTCCCTTCTGGACACGCTGTAGTACTTCTGAACTCACCGGTCGTTTTACTTCGGCATTCGTCAAATAATTGTCGATGGGCTTCGGATCGAGATGTTCGGATGGTGGCGATTCAGGTGAAGGAAGAAAATTTGCGTATTCAGCAATGTAAAGCTCTGGTGAGAACGATCGCGATGGAGGTATGGTAACCAAACGGTGAAAGGATCCTGAAATGAGCCCGTAATTCAAGATGAACTTGAAAATGACGAGACAGTTGATAGGCTACTGTTGGAATCGATTTGGTCACAAAAGTAATAAGGTTTGCAGTCGAAGAATAGTCAAATGTTAGACACAAGGGAATCTTTGAGTACCGCTCATGCTTGTTTGAATCAAAAATGCTGTACCAACGGGTCGTTTTTAGTGGCCTGATCTGAATACTTCTTTCTTCCATTTTTTGTGCGTTCGGAGATCCGGGATAGATATTCAGGATAGGCTGATATGGATCGAATACTCATTTAGTCTTTACATCCGATATTTATGGTAAAACCTGTTCGAGTGGATTTGTGGTCTCTCAAAGACGAGGTTTGATTGAAAGTCAAATCGGGTATTTTTTATTTGTGCAATCGGAAATTCCCAGTACTACCGTCACAGTATAAATTCAGAATCTCGGTTTGAAGAATTGGGTGAACATGCGTCCAAAGTTCCCGAAGGCCCTTCCATGAGAAAGGGATTCATTGAGATTGAACTTTTCTACATCCAATCACCACGGAAGGTTTTCATATACTGCGTAGGATCTTAGGCTTCTAATCTCTAAGTGACACACAAAGCTGAAACTTTGCTCTCACGGGGAACTATTAGGTTGATGCATAATTATTGCGGATTTTTTCGCGGCTTCTTTTCTCTCGATAGAATTTGAATATTGAGTTCGGGTTTTTACTAGAAATGATCTAATTGATTTCCTCTACAAGAATGTACTCAAAAAACCATCCGCATATTCGCGAAATCAGTCTTTACTACTTCGAGAAAGATTGGAAGGTGGCACAGTCATTCCGCGATCTCAGTAACTTTCGGCGATCGAACACCCAGCCAAAGCCAACCAAGAAATGGGATCTGCCCCTAAATCTGCCATGTTCATCAGCAGAAACTTTTATGGATTATCTCGTCAACCGTTCATCGAAAAATGGCTGGAGAATAGAAGTTACGTCGATTTGGATGACTTGATGGCCGATGTCAAGGCGTGGATCGCCCGTAAGGATCAAATCTTCTTCGCTTTTGGGATCCGGATAACTAATCAATAGGGAGCAGTGCTTGACGTAGATGGTGAATAAGTTCCGGAGTAATTATTTGAACATGCCTTTGCTTAGTATTTCTATAGTTTCTTTAGGTAAAATTTGCTGGAAGAAATCCGCAATAATAATGCATCAACCTAATAACAGTGGACTTCATGCTGAACAAGCCTAGTACTCAAGAGCCCGAATGAATTGGCCAAATATCGAAGGGAATCTTTTACCTGGTCTCGAGATTTGAGTAGATGACATAATATAAATTGACAAGCTGAATATTCCGAGCAGGCTTTTTCTCCACCATAGTCGTGTTGGTAGTTCAGAGAAAGACCAGTATCTTCGACTTTGTTTTTATTCCGTTAGCAGTGATCAGTACCATGACAGATCCTCATAATGATCGTCATTTATGGGCAAACATTCTCCTCAAACGCGAACTGTATTCGTGTTTGTGCTTTCTGGGTACAGTTACCTTCATCTCTTACACTACCGAGACTCTGCTTGTTGTGGCCTTATTGCTGGTAAGTCCAGTTGGGAACTAAAACTTCGCCCATGACCATCATACATCATTGTAAGAAGTATCACTAGTGTCGGATAGACTTATTTTTCAGAGGTATTTCTTACAAAGAAAAAGATTTGGGAAATTGCGTGCCAGTTACGAATGCAGCAGTTGTAAATGAGAAACAAAAGCGGAATCGTTCAAGCGGGGTTCTTTTCCGGACAGCAGTACATTTCGAATAAAAGGACGAGATACTCTCGTGTAAAGTGTAACAACTACTAACAATAAGTGAAGTGTATGTTGAAACCAGAAGAATGATCTCTCTGAATCTAGGTCCTGAGTGAGCAAAATTACTGGTTTATAGGATTTCTGGTGGAGAAGAATGGAAGGGACGGACGCAGACTTAGACAGGGTGTCGCCTTTTGAAACAACTACTAAAATTTACCGCCAAAAACTGTAACTGGGTCCCCACTTTATAACAGGGAAAGAAATGAAAATCAGAGAAATTTCGCGAACAACAGCTACTTCTATTAGGATGCTCCGCCCACTTTGTTTGCTCCGCCCTTTTTATTTTAGTTAAAAGCTCTTTTGAGACGGATAATTGATTTTATTGACGATGTACAAGGAACATTCATTTAACCGAACATCCAAAGAAACGGGAACGGTGTACACAAACAAACAAATTGACACAGGTGAGACTAATGCTGATGCTGCTGAAATGGAAAGTGGCTGGTGTAACATGAGGTGGTTGAAAACATCGGGAAAACTGATCACAAACCGAATAAACAAAACCTGAAGGAAGAACATTGGTATAACAGACAATGAACGAACATCAAAAACAAATCAATCAATAATCGATCGATTTGCCTCAAGTCACATTACAGTATGCATAACAAAAGTATTGTAGCAGCTCAATTACGATAGGGGAGTAAAACTGAGAATATATAAACGACAGACCAAACACGCTCTCTATGAAGATGAAGAAGTTGTCCCTGTTCTACGATGATGAAATGAAAATGTGAGGAGATAGGTGAAGAGATATGATTGAGCAAGGATACGGTAGAACTTAAAAAGGGGATTGGGGTAAAAGCCGTAGACACACAATGCGGGGCATACAGTAGGGAAAGGGTATTTTGGCAAAATAAAAAACGAACAAACGAAAGATGAACTGAGCTTGCAAGAAATGATTCAAGGAACGCCGGGAATAATGGTTTATAATAACTTTTTCTCCTATTACTCCTACATTTAGAGAAGTTAATATTCTGTGGGAGGCAGCTTGGTGGGTAGACTTGTTGGTAGTGTGCTGCTCCCAAATTGCAGAAGGACAGATCCATGGGAAATCTCTAATTGTAGTGAAGTTCTCCTCGACCTCCTTTTAGTCGCGTACTGTTTACAGTTGTTGACCAAAAGCGGGGTGCTCACACCCACGCACGAGGTAATTGCTATGACGTTCAGCGTTCCCTACTAGAATTCAGAATAATAGTTACGATTGCTTTGTAGTGTGACCAGATCGTCATCGTCGACATAGTGCATAGTACCGGATTCGATTGCACGCCAATAGTTCGATTTCATCCAGCCTTTGTCAACCTATAATAAATGACCAATCATGATGGGATATTGATCGTTATCGATCGGAAAGTATTGTTGATTGGCAAGAAATATTAGCGTTATGATAGACAGATTTTGCGGACAGATTTAGCGCATGAAAATGACTTGTTCATATGATAACTTACGACCATTTGCTTCTGTCTAGGCGGTGTTCTCTCCTCCTAGAATTGATTCGAAAAACTATTATTATTGAAATTGAAAACACCATCCTTACAAAGTTAGTTAGCATGAGCTCAAAACTGTTACCGTACTAAACAGCTACTGTAGAACAGCTACTGTAGGGAGCGTTTCCGCCACGTCAACTACTTTGGGTAGCCGTAGACTTTAAGCCTTTGTTCTGGCGACGTATCTTGCACGTTCTCGATTTCTCCTTACCTTCCTTTGAACCAGGATATTTACTTTTTGAGACCATGGCTAAGATTAACTAAGACCTTGATAAAGACCCACTTAGAGCGCAGCTTGTTTACCTTTGATACCTTCAACTTCTATAATAAACCCAAAATAAGTTGTGAAATTTTTTTCCGCGCTTTGTATGACTCACTTTTCGGAAATCCTTGAATTCAGCGGTTCCATGTACTATTTCGTAGTTCATGGAACCATCTAATTTGAGGAGGTTCTTCAGAATCTTTTATAAGGTTCCCTTTATCATTGAAAGGAGTGTTCTGGACAGCTTCAAGAGTAGTAGCTGAATCTGGCGTTTGGGCAAAAAAAATGTTAGTGCTGGGGAAGGCAAATAGCGAACAGCGCATAAAATTGCTTGACTTGAATCACAACTTGCCGTGACTGATTGTTGTTGAGACGGTGTTCTCTCAACCTAGAATTGATGATAAAACGTGACCTTTGTGGAAGTCAATCTGTATATCGTAATGCAAAAAATTAGCTGAGTGGTCTGTCAGTAAGAAGTGTCGGTGTTTGTGCCTGCGTGGTTGCAAGACCCGAGAAAAATCTGCCTTAATACCTCCGGTTTTTGGGACCGATACAGTAATATATCGATCGGGTTTAAAAGAAAATATTCAGAGGAAACTCAAAAGTTTTGAATGAAGTCATGACAACTAATGAGTTCTCGGTAGCCTCTGTTCAACATGGCAGAGTTACACCTTTACAGAACCTCTCCAGCTATAAATAAACGTTTTTGAGAGGCGGAATTCATTTTGTTTACGATAAAAGAAATAAAGCTATTAATAGTCGAAAATGGACATGAAAAGCAGAGCAAAGTTTGACAACGGGTCCGAGCTTATCTGGAACTTTTCAGAAAAGTTTCTACCTCGCTTTTCCAACGGTGTGCTCATGAAATCATCAATTATAAGTTATGATTAGAAGATCAAAGAGAGTACCCACCCGCAGAGTCGCCAGTTCTCCTTCCTGGACTTTGATGGCGTTATCGACGAATTGCTCCAAGTTCAGCGTGTCTATCTCGTCAATCGGTACATTAAACTGATCTCCGAGATTTTTCACCAACGCTTTCATAGAAATTCTGAAAAAAGGTGTTCCAGATGAGACGGTTTAGCTTTAATCAAATGCCTTATTACAGGCATTGCTTTGCCTTATTGCCAGTATTTCTTCTGTCATGATTGTTGATACGAATGTAAACATGAATAAACAACAGGAGTAACCAAAGATCAAGCTCAGACCAAGATTTTCACTTACTCTTCGAAAAAATATTTAAAGAAGCCCTAGCCTGATGATGATTACGAGGTTGATCCTGTTAGGTAACTGAAGCAGCTTCGCGATGGGGGATTGGCCGAAATCAAATGGCCATTCTAATTATTGGCCCTACATTTAATTGTTTAATAAACAAACAAAGTAAAGGTCTCAAACAAGGTAGAAATCACTTGGAACATTTCCCACTGAAACAATATCCTCTGGCCATCTTAAGGGGCGATTTGGGTCTCGAACGGTATGTTTGAGAACATCCGGCTGACCCGTCAGAGCGTACTGCGCGGCAAATCAACTAGCCGAGAAGCTTTGGCAGCAGATTGGGACTCTTCCTACAGATCTCCCACGCTGTTGAATATTTACCTTTACAGTCATTATGTTCGATGCTTTTGGATTGCTTCGGAGAAGGAATTCGGACCCGAAACGCTATCAACCGAAGTTAGAAAGGGCAGCACCCTCGGCTTTTTCCCCATGGGTTCATAATTCTGACACTTACACATTACGACACTTAGACTCAAATAGCCATAAAATCTACGATGATAGGGCGAGTTCAGGCCGAAGGAAGCCTAAGGAGGTTTTCGACTGTTTCCTTATAAGGACTATATAAGATAGTGGTACCCCTCTTTTGAGGTTAAAAAAAACGAAAAGAAGGAGGAAGCCGAGATAAAGATTTTGACATCTGTATTGAACTCGACGGTAAGTAGGACATGGCATAGAAAATGAATTTGTAAGGGGAAACTGACTTTTTACCGCCGAACCACACTTGTACATTTGCGACATTTTCCATCTTCCGTCCAAAGTAGTGCAATTTCTTTAATGTATCGGCTGCAATCTCAATGGCGATCGTTGTCAACGCCAATCCGACTGTGCAATAGACCAACGTAATTATCTGAAAGTATTGGTCCCCTATGTTACCATAAAAATGATGTAAGTGCCTTCGGAAAGATGAGTGACTGTACTTACTAGATATGTATCGCTTTGTGGTACCAAGTCGCCAAGGCCTATCGTCGTTAATGTAACAAAATTGAAATAAATAGCCTAAATAAATTCAATTGAAAAGCCCAGGAGTTCATGTTTCAGTCTCACTGAGATTTTTTCGATTATGTTAAGAATTAGAATTCATGGAGCAATTATGATTGTAAGATCAACTACCTCAAATACACCCATATTTGGCTCATAAGTGGCAATGGCTACGGATCCGATGACAATATAGATGACAAATGAGACGAACAGCACTATGCCGTCTGAAGTTGCATCTTCCTCCTCGTCCAGCTCGTCGTCGGTATCCGATGAACCATCGTCGTCGACCGATTTCGGCTGTAAAGAAAATAAAGCTGATAAAAAAAACTCTGAATTTACTGCGGGTATAGAGCTTTTCTAAAACCCTTAAGTGCGTGATTAGGTTGATGCATAATTATTGCGGATTTTTTCGCGGCTTCTTTTCTCTCGATATAATTTGAGCATTGAGTATGGGTTTTTATAATAATGATCTCCATGATTTCCTCTACGAAATTGTGTAAGAAAACCATCCGTATATTCGCGAAATTATGCTGCACTACTTCGAGGAAGGTTGGAAGGTGGCAGGGTCATTCCGCGATCTCAATGACTTCTCGGCGATGGAACAATCAGAAAAAGCCAACCAAGAAATGGGATCTGTTCCTGAATCTGCCACATTCACCAGCAGAATCTTTTATGGGTTATGACGTAAACCGTTCGTTGAAAAACTGGCTAGGGATTAAAAGCTACAGCGATTTGGACGACTTGATGGCTCATGTCAAAGCGTGGATCGCCTCCAAGGTTCAAAATTTCTTTGCCTTCAGAATCCGACTACCTAGCCAACGGGAAGCAATGCTTGAATTGGATAGTGGATAAGTTCCTGAGTAATTATTTGAACAAGACTTTGCTCAGTATTTCTAGCATTTCTTCGAATAAAATTTGTTGCAAAAAACACGCAATAATTATGCTTCAACCCAATACACGAGCCCTCGGCGCCAGTAACCTCTCCATTCGTCCCGGTCATGAGCCAGAGTGGGCCAGTGAATCGTCTTCGCTTCAGGCACACGAGGTCCAACATTCCTTTCGTTCAGAGCTTTCGTGAAGAAGTGTGACCATCTCGTTGGCAGCCATCCTGGAGTTCGTTTGATGTCCCGAGGGATGCAGTCAAGAACCGTCCTGGTCCAACTGTCATCACTATATCGCAAAACGTGTCCGACCCACCTGATCCCGATTTCTTGGCGTAATCAACGGCACCACTGACCTTCGTTCGGTGACGAAGCTCGGATTCCCTGCTGCACTTGCGTGTATGGAGAAACTCCGAGCATCGTCCCTACCAAAGCATGCTGAGTAAGCTGACAGCATGCTCATCCTGCTTTCGTAGAGTACGAGCCTCCAAGCCAGATGTTCTTCGTCTTCTTCACTACTCCCTCGATATTCTTAGATGCTCTCCACGAGGCGCGTTTCCTTCTGCACAGCTCCGAAGCTGGGTCGTTCATTATGTTGACTNTCCCTGCTGCACTTGCGTGTATGGAGAAACTCCGAGCATCGTCCCTACCAAAGCATGCTGAGTAAGCTGACAGCATGCTCATCCTGCTTTCGTAGAGTACGAGCCTCCAAGCCGAAGTTCTTCGTCTTCTTCACTACTCCCTCGATATTCTTAGATGCTCTCCAGGAGGCGCGTTTCCTTCTGCACAGCTCCGAAGCTGGGTCGTTCATTATGTTGACTTCCCAACCTAGGTATACACAGCTAGAGCTTCGGAGATTTTCGTTCCGTTTAGCGGCCTAGCAGCACCATGTCTCCCACGGCACCACCATTACTGCGGGCAACTCCATCATATTGATCTAGACACAAGGCAAGCAGCACCAAGACTTCCAGTCTCATGAGCAGCACCGCTTCTTGTGGCCAGCACACGGCAGCATCCCTATCCTGCGAACTCACGAGACTTACTTCACATTGTCCTGGCTTCAAGCCGAGCAGCACCATGTCCTACCGGCTCACGAAAGCTCCGTCTTATTGTCCTGGCCTCAAGTTAAACAGCATCTTGTCTCCCACGGCACCACCGTATCCTGCGGGAAACTCCATCATACTGTTCTGGCTTCAAGGCAAGCAGCACCATGTCTCCCATTGTCATGAACAGCACCGCTTCTTGTGGCCAGCACACGCAGTATCACCTGTCCTGCGGACGCACGAGAGTTACTTCATATTGTCCTGGCTTCAAGGCGAGCAGCACCATGTCCTAACGGCTCACGACAGCTCCGTCACATTGCCCTAGCTTCAAGGCAGGCAGCACTATGTCCTCCCGGCTCACGACAGCTCCGTCACATTGCCCTAGCTTCAAGGCAGGCAGCACTATGTCCTCCCGGCTCACGACAGCTCCGTCATATTGTCCTTGCTCCAAGGCAAGCAGCACCGGGTCTCCCATTACCATGACCAGCTGTGGTCTTCTCTGTAGAGCCTCAAAGACCCACGTAGAACTCTTCGAAATCCTCTTCTTCGATGCTCGATGTTGGAGTACCGGTGACTTTTGGTTGGCGATCAATCCCCTTATCCGCCATCTGGGGACGTCCTACGTAGCCTCATCACTAACCGGCTAGGGATCCTTCAATGAGTGAGAACCCTCAGTGAAGGAGACCCGTACATTTTACTACATATATACAAGAAATGCTCATGTGAAAAACTAAAAAGCATATGAGATCAGGATAGGGTGATGGAAGGGTCTTTGCCGTCGTTAGTGAATTCAATCCTGGGTCTGATAGAGCTCGAATCAGAAAGTCCCTCATCTACAGCACTTCGGAATCTATTTTCCCACTCATAAACTCAGGGTATAAAAAAGCTACATGAAAAATTGTTACTTATGAAAATTAAACTGATATGTTTAAATTTAGCTACCAGCCGAAAAAAATAAAATTATAATGGAATGATCCTATATCCTCCACTGCGCAACCATTTCCCTACAATTTCAGTGAGCTATTAACTTCTAACGAGAACCTATATAAAATTTAAAAAAATTGAACTCGAAAGATATCATTCACAGAATATTACCTGGAAGATATCATTTACAGAATATTAAGTCCTTTTCTGACAAAAGACTAGTGCCAAATTTTACTCTTCCTCGAAGAAAGAGTTGAGAATCGCATAGAGGTCTCGTGCGTAAGCAAATGTCACCCCTGGTGTCTGTCTGGTTCGATCTTTGCTCCGGCAAAACGAATATGGCCATTTGTGATTTGTGTACGCAGCAAGAAAGTCAGTCTTTTCGGAGTGGATCTCTCAAAATTTGGCTATTCGAGGAAAAGGCGCCCCCAGAGAAATGGCTAGTGCTCTATGAGTGAACAATAAATGAGTGCCGGCAGAGCAATTGTCATGCCTAACTGGTTGCTGGTCCCCTAACGTTGTAGTAAAAGGAAAAAAACGTTAAGTCCTGAATTCTTCTGTGTACTGTGGCAGAAAAAAGTACTCCCTCAGAGACGTGGAGGGTTCTGTTAGACAGAGCCCTCCAAGTCTCTGAGGGGGACAATGGGTCACGATTTGGATTTCTTTATCTGTGCGCATTGGTAGCGGAATGATTTCATGTAGTGTCAAGAGCTTGCTTCAGTTGATTCGTGAAATTTTGCCTTTTCCAAGATATCGGAGTGGTGTAGTGGCAAGTGGTGCACCAACACGTATGCATGGCCACGTGTTTAAGTCCCAGATCGATATCTGCCTAGGCCAACCAAGCCTTCCATCCGGGGTAGGTTAATTGGTTGTTAGGATAAAAGCACTGACTTGTACATCGGCTGGGCACCGCAAGTATTGTATAGGCCACATGCGCATTCAATACGCCTCCACGATTCTGAACGAAAGTCGAAGGCGAGAGTGCATCTCTCGGAAGGGTTGATTAACGTCAAAAGACTTCAGCCCCTGCTTAACGGCAGAAGTAGGAACACACTGTATCATAAGATGATTGTCCAGAAAAAAAGAATTAAAGCCGAATTGTTTGCGAGTTCCCCATATGCCCTCTTACGAAGTGCGAACAACTATCTGAAAGGAGTTTCGAAAGATTTACAGTTTGATAGTAATTTGTAACAGATAATGCTGTGTGCGTGGGGGAATAGCCCCATGCAGCACTCTTTGCCTTCAACCCGCCATAGATTTACTTGGTGTCCCATCGTACCCCATTTGCACTTAATATTCTTCAGAAGATGAAAATGATAAATGACCTAAAAACCGACTTTGACTGATTTCCTCGACTCTCGCTCCATAAGACGTTGCTTTTCTTTTGCTGTGTACTTCGGCTTACAAAGACGCCTTCGCAATCGTCTGAAAAAATCAGAAGGATTCAGCTGTCATTTTTGCCACGACGTTATTGACTAGCCCATGACTTCTTCGTTTTAAAAAATTGAAAATAAAGTAAAAAAGGAAAAAAGCTAAAAAGTGCCCAATAACAAGCGCTAAGCTGAATTGTGATGAGAATCCAGATCACGATGAGAATGAGGGGCAAGTGAATGGATATGCGGAATATGGTACAACTCAGAATCCCATTTCTGTCAAAAGGAATCAAAATTTGTTTCTTTACTTAAGTTGATTTCAATCAAATGTGTTGGCAATAATAAATTGATAATAGGGATAAGCCTTGTTACCACCCACGTCGTTGTCGTGGAGTAGCTATCGATGCGATGCTAGCCATGGTCAGGTCTCTCCCTTTCCTTTAGTGGGGTCTACCAAGTACTAGAAACGTTTAAAAACCCTAAACGTTCAGTTGCGCATATAATTCACACCTAATTTAAATATCATCACATTTGGAACGGTAGTCGAAGTATTGAGCACATCTTGTAAACAGAATACATCAGTCGGAAACAGAAACTTTCCTCAAACCTTCTCAGACCGTGAAGAATGCAATTCTGGTGAGAAATTTACCTCAACACACCAGTTCTCTACGAAGACTCACAGAAAGCCGCACGTGGAATCAGAAGAAAACTTCATTCCATAACTTCGTTTTTAAGGTGATAGGTAGACTTTCAATCAAAAACTTAGCTCAGGGTAGAAAGTACAGATGAATGTGCTAAAGCTTTGACTTTGAAATCTCACCTTGCACACTTCACGAATGGCCGAGTCCAAGATTTCAGTATGGTAGCCAAAAATTTGCCCAAGTTGGCAATCGCCAACATCGTAAATGGCACTCCAACCAGTCCGTAAAGTATCACAAAAATTCGACCATTGAAGGTACGCGGAGCGACATTACCGTAACCTAAACCAACGGAATAGGCAAAAGATTGAAAACAGCAGTAACAGGTAATAAAATGCAAAGCCGGAAGATTTCATGCCCTATTTAGTGACTGTATCTATCTGGTAAGCAGGTGATTCAAGTATCGTTGAAGAAAGCGACCCCACTAACTCTGCATCGTTAAAAGACAGTAATCTACTGCAAAGGTATCGGACTAACCGATCGTGGTGATGACCGTGTAGCAGAACAGCACGGAGTCCATAAGTGTCCAATATTCATATTCCTTTCCATCTCCGTTCTTTCCACCACCAGCTTTTTTATCTGAAAGAGCTATTCAAGTGAGGTGATCCTGGCAATGGATGAAGAGCATCAAATAAGCAGCATTTGCTAAAAAGAAGCTACTGGAGCGACAGGAGTAACGTAGGTTCTGTTACTAGTTCGGCTCGGACCAATCTCATAGAAAACAGGAAGAGGCACTTTCAAGAGGACTAGCTTCATCAAGCATACGGGAGAGTAAAGCTGTCAGAGGAACTAGTGAAACCCTTCCAAACAGTGAACGCTACTTCCAGTACGGTTGTTCTTGAGCTGGAGAATGGTACATGGCTTTTTACTGGTGTTGGAAACCCCTTACTGACTTTTTTTCAGCGTTAACCCAACCAATTGCCGTTATTCGCTCACGCTGCACGTATAACGGAAGTCGGAGTGTAATAATCCAGAAGAGCTCAACCGTGGCAGAGTGCAGCAAGTAAAAGGTAAACGGGATCCTACCCTCACCCAACAAATCACGTCCTGAAAAGAAGAAGCGCACACTAAACTGAAGACATGAGAAATGGCGAATTCAGTGGATATCGAAGGGTGTTCGGTAAGAACGAGGACATCCATTGACCACGCGAAGATAGAGCGTCCTCCACCGAGGTAGCGTAGCTTATGATCCTCTTTCACGCACCAGACATCGTTGTTAAGAAGAACAAATGGTGCTCATTGAGTTCTACTAAGCCTACGGGTATAAGTACCTAAATTAAATCATTAGCTGAAACACCAACCTTCCTCACTTGACGTATCGGTTGCGATCCGTCGATGGTCCTCATGACGATAACACTCATCAAGCCAGGACAAATGTGTAGAATCAAGGTGCTGGGAGCAATTTGACACAGCACCAAGTCGTTGCAATGCGGCTAGGACGCATTTTCGTGTTCGATTTACTGAAATACTCAGTTTCAAAATCAAAATTGAAAAAAAGTAGAGGAAATAATGATGGCGAAAAAGTTGTTGACTTCATTAACCAACGAGAAACGCTCAAACTTGTGCTACCTTACGGAATCCGTTGGTTGTGCTTTAATGAACGATTTTTTTTTGACAGTAAAGCATCTTAAAGTGAATTCAACGTTAGACCGGCCATTCTCGGACTCCACTTCTGTACCCAATCCACTAGGAAGCAGAAACTGACCCATTCTCATTTTTAGGAACAAACGGATAATGAAAAGCTGAAGGGGGAAGCAGATGGTTATGGACGTCAGGCGCCATTAGGACGATTAGATTTCGGCTATAAAATTGAAAACTGGATCACAAGGACAGCTCGCCGTCCGAACGCCAGCTAATCATCAACTGCTCTTTTTCGACCATAAAAATGCTGGGTTGCTCTTCAATAAGCATAGACTATGTAGGCATGCAAGCTGGTCCACTATGCAGCACCCTAACCTGTACGTGGCTTACTCCGAGGCTATTCTTCTGGTGCAAAGCGTCCAAGCTTTGTCCCTCTACGAAAAGCTTAACTTGAAGTCCCGTTTGAGGCTCAAATCATAGAGCTATCTGCCATAAATTTGAAGGCTAGGGATAGTTTTCGCTTTTTGCCCATTCGGCTCTTCTCCGAATTGTTCTTCTCTTAATCACCCCCATAATAGACATTATATGAAGGCTGGCGGGTGAGCTCCTTGTTTTCCCTTGGGAGAAATCACCAACCGCTGCAATTTTTCCCTATGACCGATATTTTCTCGTGTGTATGGGACTGAGTGCACGAATGAGATAACCTAAGCTCGGCGATTAGACAACAACTCGTGACGAGGCCCCCCTACACACCATACCCCCACGAGAGGGTATCAGTGACACTGATGGAGCACCGTCCTGTAAAGTACTCACCCGTCTAGGAAACACAGTTGTTTTGATTTGGGTGGCGAGATTGAAACCGGAAAAATTATAGCTTCTTGAAAGGCGAATGCTGAGTGGGCTATGGTTTTCTCATTTCCTCCCGGAAAAATACGGTACCGGCTTACAGTATTGAAGTAAGCCAGTAATCAACATGATAAGTCTTCCTAACGAATTGGTTTGGTTATAGACATCCAACAATAGGTACTCGGCTAAAGGGAAGATCCAGGAGGTATCCGACCTTGGAGAAAGGATATCAGTTTCACAGGTTGGAGGCGGTCGATATGCAGCATTACAAGTGGTGATTAATACCCTCCCAAGACAGTCAAGCTCCCATCACTCCGAGCTCAAGCTCATATGAATGGTATTATATCCGTCCTGGAAAGATAAAAGCGCAAATGCGGGGATTTGAAAGGTAGCTAAAGTCATAGTATAGGCATCATACGCATTCAAAATGACATTGCGATTTCAAATGATATTCGAATGCAGGGCCCATCCCACGAACAGCATTTATCAACGCCAAAGGAGTCCGAGATTTCATAGGTTTCATGCATTCCTCTATCTTTTGCCGTGTCTCATTTGCAGAGTAGGCATAGTTTCCCAGAAACGTTACTTTGGCAGGATGGAAATGACTCAATATTCACTTCACTCGAGTTCAGGAGAATATTCGAACAGGATTAATCCCTACGAAGAGGAATTCAATGCAAGATTATCATTCCAAAAGTGCAAGAACATAAATAATCCCTAGAGAATCGGAAAGTTATAACACGAACGAAGACGAGCGAATCCTTCAAGATTATGTAGCTGACGGGCATGTGGGCAGGCGATGTAATAAGCTTAGCATTGAATCAGGATTCGATGAACTTCCGGTTCATTACCGTGCCGCGATCTTTTTCCCTAGGAGTTCCCATTCCCCGTACTTCCTCATTCGAGAATTCGAGCTTTTTGTAAGGATGGATGAAAATTCATTTGGATAGCTCAAAACATGAAAATATGGGATGGATTAACGGGAAAACGGTCAACCAGAAATCGGCATCGAATTTCTCCCTCCCAATTTTCTAAATGGACAACTTTAGAGTCTTTTTCAGATGGCACGTTTTTATCGATCGATGAGAAAACTCGGAGTTTCGAATTACTGAAGTGATTTCGCCAAATAACCTACTGCTCACGTGATAACACTCTGGATCATAATAAAAAGGGTTGCCTAGTGCTTTCGTGTGAGAAACAGCACCGAATATGTTTTTGGAATGCGCCACGCCTCTATGTTCCACCAGAAATGAGACAAGACATTCGAAATGAAATCTATCCTACAAACATAAGTGAACGAGGACATATATGGGCACCGTTCACTCCAGGGTTTTCAGGACAAAAAGACAAACAAAGACCCAGTGCACTGGATTAAATTACACTAATGGGTGAATTTTACTAGCCTAACAAGCCTGGGTCCCTGCTCATCCTTCCGGCCACTACTGAGGACTCAACTTCTCCTACAAAGGGAAAGATTCTAACAACAGCATGAAACAACCCAATCGTTCAATTGTAATCAATCAGTAGTGGTTATATAATCGATAACGTTTTGAATGAAAAAGTTGTATTCAACCCCTCGTGTGAAGATAGAATATCATTGACGTAAACCAGGCCATAAGCTCATTAGAATAGGTTGGTCGTAGGCGAATAGTGAATTGTATTAAAAAGTCAAGTAGGTTCACGATTCGAAGGGACCCCAAGTACTTTAGCTACTTGCGAAATTTGGTTGGAAAGAATATATCTGCTGGGGCCATTCTGCATAGAACCTTCTTCAGATAAATAGCTACTTTTGTGGGCACTTACATGGGGAAGGGACGGAACGGAAGCAGTCAGACCTCAGTTAGTACATGGGAATCAGAAGCAAAATAAATAGTAACGAAGTGTTTAGCTGTAACTTGTCCCAACCGGGCCTTCTATTCCTCCGAGATCGGTTAATTGGTACCAGACAGGTCTGGCAGGATAGAAGCGCTGACTTGAACATCGGCTGGCCCCCACAATTCATTGGAATGGCCACATACGCATTCAATAACTACTCTCATGCTGATTGGTAGTCGAACGCGGTGGCGCGTCCCCCCAGCGGGATTCATCGGAACCCAAAGACTGTAAGAGACTCTAACCTTGTTGGGAATTTGTGAATTTTGAAAGCGATTTGAATGTAAATTTATCACTTCATCATACTATTACAGTAATAATTTTCTTCGTTTTTTGGCAGATCAGTCTGATTCACGAGAAGAGCATCAATAGACAATCAAATATGATCAAAATAATACGAACAAAAATGATGTTCAAGTGGAAAAACGTGGAAAAATATGCAACTCACATGAACTATGACGTATCTCATGAGCTTCTCGTTTAGGCCGACTTGTCTGAAAAGAATATTTGTGATTCCTTTCGGAGAAACTCAGAAATTCAGTTATAGACAAAAAATATATTCACAACGGAGGGTATGATAAAGAAAAATGATTCCAAAAAATGACACTTGTACTTTTTTCTTCTGGACGTGAAGTTACTCAATAATACCCACATGAGCCTGTTTTAAAGGACACGTTCAAATTTGAGACAAAAAAGGAATAATTAAATAATTAAAATGTAAAAATAGTAATTACCACGAAACAGTAATACTATTACGTATATTAGTAGCATAATAATTATCAAATAAATTATTGCCTAAGGATATAGCATAAATTCGAACCTCAGGATCATGGCGAGGGATAGCTTCGATTTCCCGTATTGCAAAAGCACCAGCGACCACATAAACAGCAACAGCAATCACCATAGCCAAGTGGATGGCATAGGGAGCTAGCTGAAACAATGAGAATGAGGTTGGTTATCGCATGGCTTATTCCAGAACCTGCCTTTCTTCTTGTTTCCTCGACAACAACTTTTTTTTATTTCTGACAA